AGAGACTAAGTCCCATTCAGCGATGGGACTTAGTCTTTTTTTCCGCCGTTTTTTTCAGCCTTATTTCAGCTGCAGAGACTAAGTCCCATTCGCGATGGGACTTAGTCGTTTTTTCAGCCTGAAATAGACCGACCTCACAGCCCAAATCTATGGAACTGTTTTGGGCAGGAAAATGTGCTTGCAGTCGGTCATAAAGGGACCTCCAGCTAACTTTTTAACCCCGGATGGATTTGGCTGATTTTTGGTTATGTTTATGTTTTAAGTGTGCTGATTCCAAATATGTAATTATGAAGATGGGATGTGTAGTTTTAAAGTTACAGGGTATGGCTAAAAACTGTATTTTTACTGCCTGTGTTTAATTATGTTAATTTCTTCCCAAACGTCATTTCGTTCAAAGTGGAGAGAATGTTAAAAAAATATATTTTTGTTCTGAGTGTGAGAAATGCTTTTCAGCCGCCTCTAATCTTAAGCATCATTTGAGGAGCCATACAGGAGAGAAACCTTATTTGTGGTGTGTTTAGTATTGTTCTGATCAGTTTAATACCTTCCGCGTCTCCTATCAGTGGACGTGTATATGGCAGCCATTTTAGGAACCGCATACCTGGGACCCGAGCAAGGTCACCTCGTTCAACAGGCTTGCGATCCTCCAGGAAGAGCCTGAACCCTACCGCTGCACGTGTCTTACCTGTACATGGAAAGCTGCTCTGGTTCCTTGATGAGCCAGCTGCCCGTGAGTTAACATGTCCCGCGGAGAAGCACTCTGTCCTGTAAAGCCTCACCAAAAAAAAGGAGTGGTGTGTTTAGTATTGTTCTGATCAGTTTAATACCTTTCGCGTCTCCTATCAGTGGACGTGTATATGGCAGCCATTTTAGGAACCGCATACCTGGGACCCGAGCAAGGTCACCTCGTTCAACAGGCGACAACATTTGTCCCTGGAAAACTATCCTGGACATTCTGTACAATTTGTATGGATATGGCAGTGATTTCTGCAACAGGGAGATGGAAGAAGATGCTTGGTCGGTCCTCTTAATTCAAATTTGGGGCACTGCGCGGTCAAGCTAATGTGCCACCAGATAGGAGTGGTGTGTTTAGTATCATTTTATCAGTTTAATACCTTCCGCGTCTCCTATCAGTGGTCGTGTACACGGCATTGATTTTTGTAACAGGGAGATGGAAGAAGAGGCTTGGTCGGTCCTCTTACTGCAAATTTTGGGGCACTGCGCGGTCAAGCTAATGTGACACCAGATAGGAGTGGTGTGTTTAGTACTATTTTTATCAGTTTAATACCTTCCGCGTCTCCTATCAGTGGACGTGTATATGGCAGCCATTTTAGGAACCGGACACCTGGGACCCGAGCAAGGTCACCTCGTTCAACAGGCTTGCAGCGTATCCTCCAGGAAGAAGAGCCTGAACCCTTACCGGCTGCACGTGTCTTACCTGTACATGGAAAGCTGCTGTGGTTCCTTGATGAGCCAGCTGCCCGTGAGTTAACATGTCCCGTGAGAAGCACTCTGTCCTGTAAAGCCTCACCAAAAAAAAGGAGTGGTGTGTTTAGTATTGTTCTGATAAGTTTAATACCTTCCACGTCTCCTATCAGTGGTCGTGTACACGGCATTGATTTTTGTAACAGGGAGATGGAAGAAGAGGCTTGGTCGGTCCTCTTACTACAAATTTGGGGCACTGCGCGGTCAAGCTAATGTGACACCAGATAGGAGTGGTGTGTTTAGTACTATTTTTATCAGTTTAATACCTTCCGCGTCTCCTATCAGTGGACGTGTACACGGCATTGATTTTTGTAACAGGGAGATGGAAGAAGAGGCTTGGTCGGTCCTCTTACTGCAAATTTGGGGCACTGCGCGGTCAAGCTAATGTGACACCAGATAGGAGTGGTGTGTTTAGTACTATTTTTATCAGTTTAATACCTTCCGCCTCTCCTATCAGTGGTCGTGTACACGGCAGTAATTTCTGTAACAGGCAGATGGAAGAAGATGCTTGGTTGGTCCTCCTAACTGGAGACTGTGTTGCTGTACGGGTGGCAGGTGGAGCCATTTATAAAGTACACACTGCTTTATAAAGCCATTTATAAAGTACACACTGGCGGCTTGAACCCAAGTTGGTGGCGGATAAGTCACGCAAGTCAACAGGCATTCAGAGCTAAAATACAGCAGCGTGTGGACCATTTTTAGCCCAAGGCAGCTCATCTCATCAGGCCTCTTTTACATAGGGTCACTTGGCAGATATGGATTGACACCTGTCCTAGGGATCCCTGATACACACTGACACAGAGCAGAATAGGGACTGTTCCTCCTACATAGGGTCACATGGCAGATATGGATTGACACCTGTCCTCAGAGCCCCTGATACACACTGACACAGATCAGAATAGGGAATGTTACCCCAACATCGGGTCACTTGGCAGATATGGATTGACACCTGTCCTAAGGATCCCTGATACACACTGACACAGATCAGAATAGGGAATGTTACCCCAACATCGGGTCACTTGGCAGATATGGATTGACACCTGTCCTAAGGATCCCTGATACACACTGACACAGATCAGAATAGGGAATGTTACCCCAACATCGGGTCACTTGGCAGATATGGATTGACACCTGTCCTAAGGATCCCTAATACACACTGACACAGAGCAGAATAGGAATGTTACTCAACATCAGGTCACTTGACAGATATGGATTGACACCTGTCCTGTAAGGATCCCTGATAATAACACTGAGACACAGAGCAGAATAGGAATGTTACCCCAACATCGGGTCACTTGGCAGATATGGATTGGTCATCCTAAGGATCCCTAATACACACTGATACACCTACTTGGATGGTATAGACATTTTTAGCAGCTCCTGGCCCGAACACCTGACCCACATAGGAGCCGTAATAGACTGGATTAGGGAGTCGACTGACCCTAAAGCCCAGTAAGTGCCATATAGGAACGTGTAAAAACCTCCCCAAGATAGTAGTATGGGCCCCAGAGGGTGAACAGGCCTTCCAACAGCTCAAGACGGCGCTCATTAAATCACCTGTACTTTCTTCTCCTGATCCAACTAAACACTTTCTCGTCCATACAGACGCTTCTATGCTTGGATTGGGAGCAGTACTGAGCCAAGTCGGAGCAGATGGTGGCTAGCAACCCGGGGCTTATCTAAGCCGTAAACTTTTGCACAGCGAAGTATATTCACTGCCATTGAAAAGGAGTGCATAGCGGTGGTGTGGGCCCTCAAAAAGCTGCAACCTACTTGTATGGACAACCGTTTACCTTACTCACAGATCACAACAAATTTGCCGGGCACCAGCGTGCGGAAGCCACTCCACCTAATGTGCCACCAAGCACAGGAGTGGTGTGTTTAGTACTATTGTTATCAGTTTAATCACTGTTACGCCCCCTATCCGTTGATGTGGAGCAAGACGCAGCAGCAGAAGAGGACTAAGCCGAGGAGGTTATGGAAGAGGATGGAGTAGGAGGAGTAGAGGAGGTGGCAGCAGGACTGCCTGCAAGTCGCGGCGGTGTCACCAACTCCTCTACAGAGCCATGCATTCCATGCTTGGCAGCAGTCAGCAGGTTTACCCAATGCGCAGTGTAGGTGATATACCTGCCCTGACCATGCTTTGCAGACCAGGTATCAGTGGTCAAATGGACCCTTGCCCCAACACTGTGTGCCAGAGATGCTATTACTTCCTTTGCACAATTGAGTACAGGTTGGGGATTGCCTTTGCGAAAAGTAATTTCGGCCGGGTACCTTCCACTGCGGTGTCCCAATAGCTAAAAAATTTTTGAACGCCTCAGACTCCACCAGCTTGTATGGTAAAAGCTGGCGGGCTAATAGTTCGACAAGCCAGCAGTCAGACGCTGGGCAAGGGGGTGACTTTCTGACATTGTCTTCTTACGCTCAAACATGTCTTGACAGACACATGACTGTGGGAAGATGAGCGTGAACTGCTCAAGGCGGGAGGCTGGAGTGGCTGGATGGTTGAGAGGGGACAAGGAGGACAGCAGTGGTTGACGTGGCTGAAGATGCTGGACCAGGAGGAGGCTAGAGTAGGCGAGCTGCTTATACTCATGTGTTGATCCCACAGGCGTTTGTGATGTGAGATCATGTGCCTACGCAAAGCAGTTGTACCTAGGTGGGTGTTGGACTTCCCATGACTCAGTTTCTTTTGGCACAGGTTGCAAATGGCATCGCTGTTGTCAGAGGCAGACACACAAAAAATTCCACACTGCTGAGCTCTGCAATGACGGCATTCTGGTGGTGGACACAGCATGCGTTGATTGGCGTGCTGTCGGGCTGACCCCGGGTGTCGATGCATGCTGTCTGACTGTGCCACTAGCTCCTTGCGACGACCTCCCCCTGCTTCCAACTCGTCTCCTCCTCCTCCCTGTCTCCCCATCTGAACTTTCGCCCTGTTCTTCTTCTTGACGAGCGGGCACCCACGTGACATCCATGGACGCATCGTCATCATCAACCGCTTCACTTGTATCTGACAACTCAGCAAAGGAAGCAGCAGCGGGTACAACATCATCATCATCATCACACCGTACGTCCATGTGTGTAATGCTGCCTGCCTGAGACATATCCCTGTTATCTACATCCTCTGGCAATAATGGTTGCGCATCACTCATTTCTTCAAACGGATGTGTGAATAACTCCTCTGACATACCAACTGAAGCGGCTGTGGTGCTAGTTTTGGTGGTGGCGGCAGGCGGGTGAGTGGTATCTTGAGAGGTGCCTGAAGCTAAGCTGGAGGAGGATGGTGCGTCAAGGTTCTGAGCGGAGGCTGTAGAAGATTGGGTGTCCTGTGTTAGCCAGTCAACTATGTCCTCAGAACTTTTCAAGTTCAGGGTACGTGGCCTCTGAAAACTGGGCATTATTCTAGGGCCAAAGGGAATCACAGCACCACGACCACGATGGGCGGGGTGGCCTGCCTCTGCCTGTCATTTTTTTGGGATTAGTGGTACTATGCGTGCAAGCTACTGTGAGACCAGATATGAGTGGCAATGTGCACTGGCACAGTTGTGCAGAGCATAGGCTGTAGGCCTGACAATCTTCGGGCTTTTGAAGCATAAATTCAACTGCTATTCAATCTATAACAGGAAAAAGTGTTTGTTTTTAAATCCAAGCTATTGTGACACAGGATCTAATTAGTGGCACTTGTCAGCGTATCCACTGTTAGCGTAACACACCCGCTTTAAGGACACTGACTGCTATTCAATCTATAACAGTGAAAAAAGTTTTTTGTTTTTAAATCCAAGCTATTGTGTCACCAGATCTAAGTGGTGGCACTGGTCACCGTATCCACTGTTAGCTTAACACAGCCGCTTTAAGGACACTGACTGCTATTCAATCTATAACAGTGAAAAAGTGTTTTTTGTTTTTAAATACAAGCTTTGTGTCACCAGATCTAAGTGGTGGCAATGGTCACCGTATCCACTGTTAGCGTAACACATCCGTTTTAAGGACACTGACTGCTATTCAATCTATAACAGTGAAAAAAGTGTTTTTTGTTTTTAAATACAAGCTTTGTGTCACCAGATCTAAGTGGTGGCAATGGTCACCGTATCCACTGTTAGCGTAACACACCCGCTTTAAGGACACTGTCTGCTATTCAATCTATAACAGTGAAAAAAGTGGTTGTTTTTTTTTAAATACAAGCTTTGTGTCACCAGATCTAAGTGGTGGCAATGGTCACCGTATCCACTGTTAGCGTAACACACCCGCTTTAAGGACACTGACTGCTATTCAATATATAACAGTAAAAAAAGTGGTTGTTTTTTTTTAAATACAAGCTTTGTGTCACCAGATCTAAGTGGTGGCAATGGTCACCGTATCCACTGTTAGCGTAACACACCCGCTTTAAGGACACTGACTGCTATTCAATCTATAACAGTGAAAAAGTGTTTTTTTTTTTTTAAATCCAAGCTATTGTGACACCAGATATAAGTGGTGGCACTGGTCACCGTATCCACTGTTAGCGTAACACACCGGCTTTAAGGACACTGTCTGCTATTCAATCTATAACAGTGAAAAAAGTGTTTTTTGTTTTTAAATACAAGCTTTGTGTCACCAGATCTAAGTGGTGGCAATGGTCACCGTATCCACTGTTAGCGTAACACACCCGCTTGAAAGACACTGACTGCTATTCAATATATCACAGTAAAAAAAGTGTTTTTTGTTTTTAAATCCAAGCTTTATGTCACCAGATCTAAGTGGTGGCACTGGTCACCGTATCCACTGTTAGCGTAACACACCCGCTTTAAGGACAGTGTCTGCTATTCAATCTATAACAGTGAAAAAAGTGTTTTTTGTTTTTAAATACAAGCTTTGTGTCACCAGATCTAAGTGGTGGCAATGGTCACCGTATCCACTGTTAGCGTAACACACCCGCTTTAAGGACACTGACTGTTATTCAATCTATAACAGTGAAAAAAGTTTTTTGTTTTTAAATCCAAGCTATTGTGACACCAGATATAAGTGGTGGCACTGGGCACCGTATCCACTGTTAGCGTAACACACCCGCTTTAAGGACACTGACTGCTATTCAATCTATAACAGTGAAAAAAGTGTTTCGTTTTTTTTAAATACAAGCTTTGTGTCACCAGATCTAAGTGGTGGCAATGGTCACCGTATCCACTGTTAGCGTAACACACCCGCTTTAAGGACACTGACTGCTATTCAATCTATAACAGTGAAAAAGTGTTTTTTGTTTTTAAATACAAGCTTTGTGTCACCAGATCTAAGTGGTGGCACTGGTCACCGTATCCACTGTTAGCGTAACACACCCGCTTTAAGGACACTGACTGCCATTCAATATATAACAGTGAAAAAAGTGTTTTGTTTTTTTAAATCCAAGCTTTGTGTCACCAAATCTAAGTGGTGGCAATGGTCACCGTATCCACTGTTAGCGTAACACACCCGCTTTAAGGACACTGACTGCTATTCAATCTATAACAGTGAAAAAGTGTTTTGTTTTTTTTAAATACAAGCTTTGTGTCACCAGATCTAAGTGGTGGCACTGGTCACCGTATCCACTGTTAGCGTAACACACCCGCTTTAAGGACACTGACTGCTATTCAATATATAACAGTGAAAAAAGTGTTTTTTGTTTTTAAATACAAGCTTTGTGTCACCAGATCTAAGTGGTGGCACTGACTGGGGAAATGGGCACAGTATGCACTGTGAACCTGACACAGAAGCTGGCAGCAGTGGCAGACAACTGACTGCTATTCAATCTATAACAGTGAAAAAAGTTTTTTGTTTTTAAATCCAAGCTATTGTGACACCAGATATAAGTGGTGGCACTGGTCACCGTATCCACTGTTAGCGTAACACACCCGCTTTAAGGACACTGACTGCTATTCAATCTATAACAGTGAAAAAAGGTTTTTGTTTTTAAATCCAAGCTATTGTGACACCAGATGTAATTGGTGGCACTGACTGGGGAAATGGGCACTGTGAGCCTGACACAGAAGCTGGCAGCAGTGGCAGACAACTAAGTGCATTTACATTACATAGAAAAATAAAATAAAAAAAAAGCATACCCTTATCCCTAACCTAGCTATGCTTTCCCCTATCTTATGAACAGCAGCTACACTTTCCCTCCTCTTACTAAGCATGCAGCTTGAGAATGAATCTAAAATGGATGCCTTCCAGGAGGTGGGAGGGTCTGCTAGGAGGGTGTGCTGCTAATTGGCTGGAATGTGTCTGCTGACTGTGAGGTACAGGGTCAAAGTTTACTCAATGATGACGAATAGGGGGCGGGTCGAACCGCGCATATGTTCGCCCGCCGTGGCGAACGCGAACATGCTATGTTCGCCGGGAACCGTTCGCCGGCGAACCGTTCGGTACATCACTAAACTACATATCTAAAGACATATCTCGCTATTCACACACTATACATTTATCTGTCTCAAACTTTGTGTATCTTCCCATAACTCCTCCTTCCCCCATTTGAGGACCTCTATAAAAAGCCCAATTTGTGTCTCTCTCACCATATCACCTTTTCCTCCACAACTTGTGTGTTTTTGGTGTAGCATTCTGCAAAACATGTTTTTATTTTTTTGGTGCAAAAATCATAAAGATTTGATCATGCAGAAATATAACATATCAATGAGGACAAAACTGCATTTTATTGAGGCTAAAAACGGCATCATTTGCGAAGACTCCCAAATATGACATCTTAGCTTAGTTGATGGTTGTCATGGTGTCTAGTGGATCGTAGGTATACTTATCTGAAGCATTACCTCACAGCCACAACCATCTTAATCCTGTTGAACAACTTCATCTGCCATGAGCTGTGTTAGTGTGTGAATATTTTGGCTGAGTTACATGTCAAGTCTTCTTGCCTTTACGTGCCATATCTGCTGACGGGATTTGTACAGTAACATTTTGCCAAATTAAAGTGGCAGCATGGTGATAACAGTTACATTAGTCAGACTGGCCAAAAAAGGTTTCAAGAATGCCAAGTTAAAGTGATACAAGGCTGTTGTCTGCCAAAAAAGTGCAAACAAGCTCAAGTCCTCATGGGTTTTTCCTCTGGTTAAATCAGAATTTCACCTTCTTTAAAGGACAACTGTCACCGCAAAAAATGCATTTTTTGTTAAAAATGTGCTGCAGGGAAATAATATATATTTCATTAGTAGATAAGAAACATTTAAATGACTATTTATTCAAACATAAAAGTCAAGATTTGAAAAAAATAGGGCAGAATAAATTGGCAAGCAATCCATTACTGAAAGTACTTTAACCCCTTAAGGACTGAGCCAATTGTAGAAGTTATGATCAAAACAAAATGTAAACAAAACCTTTAATTTGCGCTACATGTATGTTCAGGCGTAATTCACCTATTCAAACTTAGCATTCATATTTGATTGTGTGTGAAAAATGCAAAAAACTAAATTGAACACTCATTTTGGCCAGTGTTTGTGACTAAGTGGCTACTAAAAAAGAATGGACATACCTCATTTGCATTACCCTGGGTTGTCTACTTCTGCAAACGGTATGCCATCATGGGGCTAATTCTCATTCCTGAGCTGCCATACGGTCTCAAAGGCAACATAACCAATAGGGGAAATTGCAATGTGGAAAAAAGTAAATTCAAGCCTTATATTTGACTCAGTAACTTTTGAAAACACCATAAAACCTGTACATAGGGGGTACTGTTATACTCGGGAGACTACGGCGAACAAAAATATTAGTGTTTTAAAATAGTAAAATGTAGCACAACAATTAAACCATCCGTGAAAGTACAACTTGTGTGTGAAAAATGCAAACAACTGAATTTTGACTGACGATTTCATCGTTGGGATATGTTTTACTGTTTTTAAATTGAGGGCTTGCGAGTCAAATTATCTGGAATTTCTGCCTGGGTTGTCGGGCAGGTCCCTCAGATTGTAATTAATAAAATGACTTGATTATGTAAAAATATTATATAACTATATTTGTAAAATTTAAATATATGTATATGTATGTATATATATATATATATATATATAAAACATTTTTAAAAATTATTTTTAATTTTTATATATATATGTATACACATGTAGATAGATAGAGATACATATATGTATTTATAACGTCATTCTAAATGTATTTTGAATTTAATATATATGTATATTAATGCATATTAATATAAAAATACAGTTAGAACAATTTTTTTTATATTTTTTTAAAATATTAATTTATTTCATTTTCATTTTTTCAATTTATTTATTGATTATTATATATAATTATATATATGTAAAATTAATGTCATTCTAAGTGTATTTTAATATTAATAGATACATAATTTATATATATATATATATATATTAATATTAAAATACACTTTTCTTAATGTTGTATGTATGTGTATGTGTACATAAAAGTACTTAGAATATATATATATATGATCCGAGTATTTTTATTTACTTTATTAAAATTTTTATTCCCTTTTTAAACCTTTATAAACTTTTTTGCAGGCATTAGGGGGACTGCCTGAGAGCTCAGGCAGGCCCCCTGCAGTCAGTGCAAAGCCGGCTATTCCGGTCATGTGATCGCAAAGACCGTATGGCCGGGGGGGGGGCAGATCAGTGTGCCTGAGCTCCCAGACAGACCCCAGAATCGTAAATGCTGTTTTGCGGAAGGTCAGGAACCCGGTAAGTACAAAGAATGGTGGGGACGTTCTATGCAACCCTCCGGCGTTTTGGACCACCCCAAAATGGAAGTCATGGAACTCCCGTCCTTACGGGGTTAAACTAAAGGAAGCCAACAATAAATGCAGTTAGCTTTGATGACAGGTGTGTTAAAGTTTTATTTCCGTGAAATCAGACAGCAATAATACTCCCAAACAATGATCATAGCAGCTAATAACATTATTTTTGGTGAGCGAGCCAACACCCATTTGAAGTATAAAAAGAGTGAGTTTTTGTCTGGAAGATGTGAATCGCCTGAGCAGACTTAACGTGATCGCTACATCCCTCCTCTGCAAGAATTAACATCATGTCTCATCACTCCATTCTTGGTACCTCTGGACACAAGCACTTCAGCTCCTGTTCAATGGCTTCTCCTAAACATGGCAGCTCTTACCACACATTATCTCACTCCTCCAAATCAGCAGCTCATGGTCATAAGACACTGCATTGCTTTAGCAGCAGAAGTGCCCATAGTATGGGTTCCAGGGGAAACAAGATCTCAGTGGGAAGCTGCCATTCTGGGAAAACTGGACATGGATCTGGACATGGATCTGGTCATGGATCTGGATATGGATCTGGTTTCGGTATTGGAGGTATTGGTTATGGATTTGGGGGATCT